GGGTGGGAGACTGTTTATTTGAGAAGGGTCCGATTCTGCAGGGAAGGGCGAGGCGGAGAGCCCCCCAGCTTCTGGGCATGGTTACGGGGAGGACCCACAGCAACGTCTCAGCGTAAGGCTCAGCTGGCGAGCACGTGGGCACTCGTGGCCCCAGCCCCTCGCCTGCCCCGGCTCTGCAGACCTTTCCCCCGGCTTCAGCATCCCCGCTGGCAAACCCTGCGAGGCCCCCGTGACCTTCGCCCTGGGCTTCTAGCAGTGGGCAGGCCAGCTGGGCACTCTGCCTCCAGCCTCCTTTCCACGTGTGCAGCCGCCGCCAGGCCACTCGCTTTCCTGCTTGCGCCTCGACTCCCCGTTCGGAAAACAGCCCTAAAAATTCCTGCTGCTGCGCTGAGGGTGTTTGAGGAACAACTAGGAAACTGTTTATAGGCAGCTCAGCCCAGACTTAAAGGACTCCAAAATCTGGTGGCTTGAAATCAGGAGGAGGCCAAGGAGCATCCTGGAACCCCGCGGCATTGCTGGCTCACGGTGGGATCTGAGTGCGGGCCACAGCGGACGTGGTGATGTGTGAGTCCATCTGCAGGTGCGGCTGGTTCTGGCCTCCATCCTGGGAACGGGGGCCTAGGAGCCTTGTGTGGGAGTCTGGTCCCGAAGCCTCTGTGTTCGAGCGGATTCTCTGATCACTTGTAGCTGTAATCAGCAAAGAGGAAGCTCTTAAAATGGGGACTCATATGTCACGGTCACTGCAGAGTAGCCCTGGGCCTGGCGCCAAGGGAAACAGCACTTGGCCGGCAAGGCGGCGGGCCGCTGGGCCGCCTGCGGAGCGGGCTCGCCCCCAAGTGCTTCCTGCAGCAGGGGGCGCGCTCTTGGCGGGCGACCGGCAGCGGTGAACCAGCCACACGGCGAGTCTGCGGAGATGGACAGGCCGGACAGGCCGAGGGATGCTGAGGGCAGAGCTGGGGGCTCTGGAACGTCGCGATCTCCATTGCGCCCGGCTTCGTGACCTCAGGAGTGTCCCTTGGCCTCTCTGGGCCCTGCTGATCTCACCCCGTGTAGGACCAAAGCCTTCCATACCCCAGGGGCAGAGTGGACCCCGTGATAGTTATACTGGCAACGATGGCAGTAATACCGGTGTGCGTGCTTATGCTCACTCAGTGGTGTCTGCCTCTTTGTGACCCCATGGACTGTATCCTGCCCGGCTCCTCTGTCCGTGGGGAGTGTCCAGGTGAGAATACTGGAGTGGGCTGCCATGTTCTCCTCCAGGGGCTCTTCCTGACCTGGGGATCGAACCTGCGTGTCTGATGTCTCCTGCGTTGGCAGGCAAATTCTTCACCACTGGGCCCCTGGGAGGCCCAGGAATACTGGCAGATGACGAGTTAAGATGTACCTGCCGCGGGCAGCCCCTCGTTCAGTCCTCACAGCATCCCTGTGCGACGGCCACAGAGACGAGTTAAGATGTACCTGCCGCGGGCAGCCCCTTGTTCAGTCCTCACAGCATCCCTGTGCGATGGCCACAGGTACCCGTCTTCACACTTGAACACAGTGAGGACCCAGAGAGGTTGAGCAACTTGCCTGAGGTCACTCGGCCGGGAAATAGCCCTCAGCTTCTAGGCCGGGGCTCACACTTTGCTTTCTGCAGGGGCCAGGCTGCCCCCGGAGGGCCTGGGGCCTCCATGCGGGGAGCCTGAGGCTGAGGGGTGGGCTGAAGCAAAGGAGTTCCATGGGGCCAGCGTCTCAGAGAAAGGGCCTGTGCTGGGATCCAGTAGGCTGTGGCGGGGAGCGTGTGTCTTCTGCTAGGAGTGACGGAGCATTGGATAGGAGGGCATTGGGATCTGAAAGTGCTTTGCGAGTTGCTTCCAGCTGCGGGTTTGAGAACAGAGTGTCGGGGTGGGGTGGTCAGAGCATCAGCAGGGGGCACCCGGGCGGAGGCTGCAGGGGATGCCCATGGAGGGCTGTCGGGCCTGCGCCAGCTGGTTGCCATGGTGATGGAGACACGTAGGTGGATGTCAGGAATGTACAGGAGGCTGCATCTGCGGGTCATGCTGCTGTGGGCACCCACAGGCACGGGGCCGGTCGGATGCTCCAGAGGGGCTCAGAAAGAGCCTCCCCCCACGGGGGGCAGTCGGGGTTGCCTGCCCTCAGGTCTGACCTCGTCCAGGCTTGCCTGTGTCTCTAGTATAAAGTGTGGGCAGGGCTGGGCTGGGCTGTGTGTTCCCGAAGGCCTGCGAGCCTGTGATGGGGGCGGCCACACGTAGGGCGCGTGTCACTGATGGACATCTCTGTGGACACCTTGGAAATGAGGAGTAGGGGGGGCCCCACAACACCAGGACATGCTGGGCCTCACCCCCCCGATCCTGGTTCAGCTACAGGCGTCAGTAAGATGGGGTCCTGAGTGTGGAAGAGAGAGGTTGGAAGTCCTGAGCCGAGCGCCTCAGGAAACTTGTTTCTGCCCCCCTGCCTCACGTCTCAGGGCTTCCCAGGTGGCGCTAGTGGTAAAGAACCCGCCTGCCAATGCAGGAGACATAAGAGACGCCGGTTCAATCTCTGGGTCGGGAAGATCCCCTGGAGGAGGGCATGGCAACCCACTCCAGTATTCCTGCCTGGGAAATCCCATGGACAGAGGAGCCTGGTGGGCTCCGGTCCAGAGGGTTGCAAAGAGTCGGACATGACTGAAGCGCCTTCGCACGCACGCATGTTTCCCGAGGGTTCTCTAGGGCCAGAGGGGCCCGTGGGCCTGGGCCCAGAGCGCAGAACCAGGACTCAGGGTGGCTTTCGCAAGCGCCCGCAGGCTGTATGAGCAGACGCCGATCACCACCTCCCCCCCAACTCGCCTGGCTGACCTGGTGAAGCGCCTTCCAGCCCCAAGATCCAAGGAGAGCCCGAAAGGGCGGCACCAGCCCCCGTCTTGATGAGGAGACCCCGGGGTCATTCCTTGGAAAACATCTCTACCAGGAGGGAGTGGAGTCCCACATCCTCCAATTATGCTGCCGTCCAGCCGGCCCACAATGGGTCCGCAGATAACCATCGGGGGCCGCAGAGCTCCGTGCTGGAACAATGCTGGCCGCTCGGGCTATTTTTACAGTAGCCGTGCGCTCGGCAGAACCCCTCGTCGCCCCAGGGGAGCAGGCGAAGAAAGGGCTGCGGATGCCCCGCCGTCTGCGCTCCGGGAGACAGAGGAAGGCCCGGTGAGCCGCCCGGCGGCTCCAGGAAGCCTTTTCTCGATCTGCTCACTGCCAGATAGCGAAACAATCGGGGTCCCCCACCCCGAGCCAGGGAGAGGAAGGAGGTGTGGGGGAAGCGGGGATTCTGTTATGCTTGCGTGCCTCCCCTCCTCCGAGCACGGCCCCGGAGGGCCTGACTGTGGGCCAGGCCAGCGTGCCCCCCTCGCCTCCCCTGGTCCTTGGCAGTGGTCCCCTCTCCCGGCCGGACCTCCCCCAGGCCCCACAGTGTCACGGGGCTGGGAAGCGGCAGAGTTGGGGGGTGCCATTGGGCCCCAGCTCCCTGCGTACCTACTCTGGGAGCCATCGGCCCAGCAGTCCTTCGCTGACAACCTCCCGTGCACCAGCTCAGGACACCCCACCGCAGGCAAGGCGGGTCCCGCTGCCCCGCGGCCTCCGTTCTAGATGAGGAGGAGACTGTTAACAAGGCAAACAAGGCATTTTCAGCTAGCGCCGCGGTGACTCCATGCAGACTCAGATGTCCCTGGACAGGTCCAGATGGCGAGCTGGCCCCGTGCACCGGGGCGATGGCCCCCTCTGGTCCAGCGGATGGCTGCTGTAGGAGCGTGAGTCCAACGTGTGGTCCACCTTCCAGTTTTTCAAGGAAACCTAGAAATCTCGACTTTACCCTGGAATCTGAGAGTGCAGCGCTGGCCACCCATTTGAATCGTGAAGACAAGCAGCTGGCTCTGCGTCGGCACTCTCTGCCTTTCCTCCTTTTTATTCTGAGGTCCTGGAGACAGGCTCCCCGGTCTTCGTGGTCCTGTGGCACATGGGGGTAGAAGGCACCTTCTCCTGCTGGGCGGGACTCGGATGCTCTTGCCCTCAAGACCCAGCTGCCAAGAGCACTGGGCACTCAGGGGCCAGACGCAAGACAGAGAGGCGTTGCCGCTCCGGCCGGTGGCAGAGCTGCTCTGGGATGGGGTCCGAGCAGGGGCTGCTGAGGGTGAGCGTGAGCAGCTTAGAGGCCTGATAATCCTGGGGCCTCCACTTGCTGAACCCACAGGGCAGCCAGAGGGCCAGGGCCCGGATGAACCAGGGGTCAGGGTGGACCCGAGCGCAGATAAAGGGGGCTGGACCCGTGGGGACTAGCAGGCGTCGCTCCGGAGTCCTGTCCCGGCGCAGACCCCTGCCCTGATGCTGCAGACGTGGCCTGGCTAAGAAGCTGCCAGAGTATCTTATAAGCACCCGCGTTCTGTATTTGACGGAAACCCTGTTTCCAAGTACTGGAAGGCGTACTCGGAAACCCTGAAGCGTGAGAACTCGCCAGCCTGAAGCTCCGTTCTTTAAACCGTGATGGGTGAGCGCCTCCGCTGGGCCAGGGTCTGCCCCGCAGCACCAGTTTCTCTGCCAGCCTGAGATTCAGAGACGATTTCTAGAGGATGCAGGCAGGCGGTGGTTTGGAAGCGGCACAGGCGGTCGTTTGGAAGCGGCACTAGACCTGCTTGGATGGTGTTGGGTTCTGCAGAGATGCTGCCAGGGCTGGGTGGCTTCGTGCTCATCTCCCTGCGGGTGCAGAATGGTGGGAGGGGGGTGGCATTCAGGGCTGGTGGAGACGGGCCCCGGTGCTTCTGTTGGACGGGTGCCTAGGGGATGGCAGCTGTCGGTCCCCGGGTCCTCAGGCCCCCAGTCACCTGGGGTGGGGGGTCCAAGGGGTGGACGGACGAGGTGGGGGCAGGCCATCTGCCTCAAGCCCGGCAGGCCAGAGGCGGCCCGTGGGGTCGAGCCAGGACACACAGGCTGCCCCTCACTGACGCACGTCGGGGTCTGCTCTGTCCACCGTAGAAAGCGAGGCGGGCATGGCCACCAAGGAGAAGTTGCAGTGTCTGAAAGACTTCCACAAGGACATCCTGAAGCCATCTCCTGGGAAGAGCCCAGGCACCCGGCCGGAGGACGAGGCCGAGGGGAAGCCCCCGCAGCGGGAGAAGTGGGCCAGCAGGATCGACTTCGTGCTGTCCGTGGCTGGCGGCTTCGTCGGCTTGGGCAACGTCTGGCGTTTTCCCTACCTCTGCTACAAAAACGGCGGAGGTGAGCCTGGGCTGGGCAGAGGGCGGGCTGGAGGGGTCGCTGGGGCACAGCAAGGGGGCCTCCCCACGCCCAGCGTTCCAGGCCCCCGCCTCAACCTCCCCGATGTCGGCCTGCCTCCGCTCCCACCACAGTCCTCAGAGGCGGGGGACCAGCATGACCGGGAACCAGCTGGTGTTCTATCCGGGCCTCCCTCGAGCAGATTCTTCACCGTCTCTGCTCCTCCAGTTTACCATCTCTGACGGCCGCCACAAGGCCAGGCCCGAGCCTCCGAAGCCTCGTAGCTCTGCGCCTCCCCACAGAAGCGCAGAACTTTTTTACCTGTCTTTAGAACTTTTTTACCCTTTTTTGCTTTTCTAACTTAAACCAGTCGTAGTTCAAAAGCAAGTTTCGTGTTTCCCACCCTAAAGAGAAAACCAGTGTCTTTTGCTGTGATGGATAGGTATCCAGGACAAAAGAAGAAAAAGTACAATGAAGATGTTTTTAATTTTTTCAGTTTTATTGAGATAAGAATCGACATATAGCATTGTTTTAGTTTAAGGCATACAAGATGATTGATGTCTCTACTGTGAAATGATCACGGTAAGTCTATTCATCAGCTCACATAGTTAAATGTGTTTTTTCTTCTTGTAATCAGAACTGTTAAAGTTTTATGCTGTTAGCAACTTCTTTTTTTTTTTCCCGCATGTGGGATCTTAGTTCCCCAACCAGGCCTCAAACCTATGCCCCTTGCATTGTGAGTACAGAGCCTTTGCCGTGGGACTGCCAGGGAAGTTCGTTAGCGACTTCCAAACACACCACCCGGTGTTTCGTGACTGGTGTACAACCATGATGTGCACGACACGCCCGGTCGGAATTTATCTCCTAACTGGAAGTTTGTGCCTTTTCGACCCTTTCACTTAGCCGTGGTATTTTCTAAATGTGAGTTCTCTGTTTGGTCAGCTGGATAGTTGGTTGGCCTGTTCTTTCGGTTTTTGAACGGTTGGTTGTTTTTAACTTGCCGAAGGCCCTGAGTGAGCATGCTCTGATGTCACAGGAGTTCAGGCTCGGCAGCACATCCCGAGACCTGCTGGTCAGCAGGACCTCAGCAGTAAGAACTCCCTCCCTGCTCCTCGTGGCGGCCCGTGACCCGGCCGGCACCCAGCAGAGCTGGGCACGCGCGTGCTGCCCGCCCACCTGCCCGCATCAGGAGAACCACCTTGCAGGAGGTCCTGCCCTCCAGCCTGGTTTCTTAGCCTTTCGGAGGTCTCAGGTGCCTCTGGGACCCTGATGAGTGCCCTGGACGCTCCCCAGAACAAAGCCCATGCCCACAGACCCAAGTTGCCCACACTTTCAGAGGGTGTACGGACCCGCTGAAGCCAGCATTGAGCACCAGGTAGGAGCCCTCACCCGGCTCTTCACCCTCCCCTCCTCCCCTGGCTCCCACCCCCGGCTGGAGAGAACCATCTCTCGCTTCCCAACACCCTTCCCAGCTGGTTCTCAGCTTCCTGCCCTGGCCGGGCCATGGAAGGCCAGCTGAAGGCTTCAACCAGGAGACCCATCTGAGCCGGGTGTGAAGGGCTGGGCAGTCCTTCTTCAGAGGGATGGACCTGGGGAAGACAGGCAGGCACAGAGCTTCAGCAGACACTCGGAGGCTTCAAGCCACCGGGTAGATTGGAAGAAGGCAAGAGGGCACCCTGGAAGGATGGTGCTGGCTGGACGAGAATTTTCAGCCAGGTCCAGCAGTCTGCCCTTCACCCTCACGTCCCTGGGTCAGGAAGATTCCCCTGGAGAAGCAGATGGCAACCCAGTCCAGTACTCTTGCCTGGAGAATCCCATGGACGGAGGCAGGCTGGCCGGGAGGGGTTGGGACGGAGAACATGCAGGCCTCAGCCAACCTGAGCCTCACCGCACTCTTCTCTCTCTGCAGGCGCATTTCTCATACCATACTTCATCTTCCTGTTTGGGGGCGGCCTGCCTGTGTTTTTCCTGGAGGTAATCATAGGCCAGTACACCTCTGAAGGGGGCATCACCTGCTGGGAAAAGATCTGCCCCTTGTTTGCCGGTGAGTACGGGACAAAGGTCACCGGGGGCCTGGTGTTCCTCGGCTCAGCAAATGTTTATTGTGCACCTACTACTTGCCAGGTACACTGGAGCCTCACGCAGGCCAGCTTGGCTCATGGCGGCGCTGCTGCTCGTGCCTCTCTGGGTTGTCAAAGGATGGGAGACGCAGTAGCTGCTGAGCAGTAGGGTGTAGAAAGGAAGCCTTTCAGCCAGCCTGTCTGTCTGGCTTCAAGCCCCGCTTCCCAGTTTTGCTACGTCTCGTGACTTTGGGGAAAGTCACTTCATCTCTTTGTGCCTCAATTTCCCTATCCGTAAAATGGAAATAATACGCACACTTCTAGGGTTGGTGTGAAGACAAAACAGCACAGCCACGTAAAAGTCTGTACACAGAGGAAGCCCAAAGCAGCGGTCGTAGCTTTGTTGTTGCCGGGCTTCCCTGGTGGCTCAGGTCGTAGAGAATCTGCCTACGATGCGGCAGACCCAGGTTTGATCCCTGGGTCAGGAAGATCCCCTGGAAAAGGGAATGACAGCCCACTCCAGTATTCTTGCCTGGAGAATTCCAGGGACTCGGACACGACTGAGTGACTAACACTTGTTATTATTGTAGCATTTAGTCCTGTGTCTACTTCCTAGTATGTCCTCATAAGATAATGCTGTCATGATTATAACTGGCAGGGGTGGGAGACTGTGTGAGTCTGTTCAGTCAGTCATCCATGTAAATCTACCCATCTGTCTATCCATTAAACCTTTCTTTTATTAAACTAGTCAATAGTTACACAATGCATATACCCATTCAACCATGCTCCAGCTACTTATCCATCCATCCATCCATCTACCTAACCTTCCAGTCAACCACCATCCATTCAACAAAGTAAGTATCCATCCACCATTCCAACATCCATCCATTCGCCTGAGTCCATCCAGCCATCTGTCTATTTATGTATCCATCCATTCATCCATTGATCTATCCATCCCTCTATCCATCCATCCATCCATCCATCTATCCATCCATTCATCCATTCATCCAGTCATTGGTCTATCCCTCTTTAGCTGTCTGACTCATCTGACCATCCATTATTTTACCTATCCATCCATACAGTCACGCGTTCCTCCTGTGCTTATTTGCTGGTCCCTGCGGAAGGGCCCCTTCTGGCCCCAGGCCTGCAGATCCCAGGGTTTCTGGTTGAGGGTGTGGCTATAGCGGGTCCGGCCTGCCTCTGACCCCCGTCTCGCTTGCCCCTGCTCACAGGCATCGGCTATGCCTCCATCGTGATCGTGTCCCTCCTGAACATATATTACATCGTCATCCTCGCCTGGGCCATGTACTATCTGTTCCAGTCCTTCCAGTCGGAGCTCCCCTGGGCCAAATGCAACCACAGCTGGAACACACCCCATTGCCTGGAGGACACCTTGCGGAAGAACCGGAGCCTCTGGATCTCCAATAGCACCACCAACTTCACCTCCCCTGTCATCGAGTTCTGGGAGTAAGGCTGGCCTCGAGGAGGAAGGAGGGGCTGGGGGTGGGGGCAGAGGACAACCCATGCCCTCATCTTCTCCCTGGGGATGTAGGAGCCACTTCCTTGGGGTGGGGTGGGAGGAAGTGGGGGGTACAGATTTGGAGATAAATCCATGCCTTTGGTCTCAGACAGGCCTGGAATCGAATCTCAGTTCTGCCATTTTACTGGCTGTTTGACCTCCAGCAAGTCACTGCCCCTTTCTGAGCCTCAGTTTCCTTAACTGTCAAATGAGGGCAATGAATCATTCCTACACCCATGGGATCTCTGTGACGATTGTTTCCCAAAGGCAGGTATATGTACTTAGATTGTCTGAAAGTGATATAGTTTTCTTAATGTATTTTAGGGAAAAAAATATATATATGTAGTTAGCGCATCAAACTTGTTATTGCCCAGAGGGGGAAAAAAAAGCATATATGAAGCTTGAAGTAGTTATTCAAGTGAACAAGTGAGTACATAGAGTGAAAAATATGTATCAGTTAGCGTTTGCTGTGTAACACCCATCCCCAAATTGGAGCAGCCATTTGTTTTCTTTGGCTCATGGCCCTGCCCCTTGGCAGTTGGGGCGAAGCTTGGCTGGGCAGTTCTTCTGGGCTTTGCTGGGCTCCCCCCCCATGGTAGGTAACTGTACGTCATCAGGGTCGCTCTTCTGGAGACTGGCTGGCTCTTGGCTGGGATGCCACAGGCAGCTGGTCGCTATGGCCTCATCACCCTACAGGCTAGCCTGCCCTTGTTCCTAGGCGGCTCAGAATCCCAAAACCACACGCGGGAAAGCCCCAGTGCTGGGGCACTTCTCCAGCCTCTGCTGGAACCATTTTTGTTAAGGTCCCGTTGGCCAAAAAGAGGCCCAGGACTAACCCAGACTCGAGAGGTGGGGGAATAGGCTCTGTCTCGAGGAAGGAGAATTACGGGCATGTTTGGAAGCTGCCCACACTATAGCCAACGACGGCAGAAGCATACACATGGGCCAGACGTGAGGAGGGCAGAGCGTGGAGGCCTGCATTCGGGTAGCTCTTCGCTGACGTACAGCGTTGTCCTTCTAACCCAGCGCTGGGAGCCCATCAAAAATGGGTGAGTGCCTTGCTTTCCCTGCTCTCCGTGAGCTGTTCAACGGGTGCTTAGCAGCCCCTCCGACCCCGGAAGGAGCAGACAAGGCCTCGCCGGCGGTGAGAGCCAGGGCAGGGAACGGTGTTAAGGAAGCGCCTGTCGCTACCAGACAAGACCCCCTCTCCCTCGTGTGTGGATTTGCTGCGTCGAGGAGCCTCTCCTCCTCTTAGAACCTGGCCCTGGCGCCGGCCCACAGAAGAAGGAGCTAAGCGCTGGCTGGTCCCAGCCGATCGTCAGGGCCGGGGCGGGGGCACTCAGGCCGGAAGGGGTCACTTGGCCACTCCCCCAGGTAATCCACGGACCCCTCCTGACCTCAGGCCTTTAGGGGTGCTCATGGGTCCCGGGGCTCCTGCAGCTGGGCTCTTTCCATGGAGGTGTTTCCCACTTGCAGACAAAGAGCTTTACAGGCACATCCCCCCGCCCTCAGCCCTGACCCCCGACCCCTTGCTCCTCACACCTGGACAGCTGAGTTTGCAGACAAAGGAATGCGGGCATTTCTTTCTTCTCACTTGAACAGGGCCAGAGGGGCCGGAGGCCAGGGCCCTGTCCCTTCCCTGCTGTGCCTGGCACGGCCTGACCACCCAGGGCCTGCTCTACCCAGGACGCTGGCACTCACCCAGCCCCTCCCGCGCCCGCCAGGGCCTAGCTGCCTCGGGCACAGGTTGGCCGCCTGGGAGGGAGCCCTCATTCTGCCAGCGCTGGCTCGGTCTGGCGCCTCTTCCTCTCTGAGCCTCCGCGTCCTGAGCTGTACTTGGGAGGTCATAACGCTGCCCTCCCAGGCCGTAGGACCCCCCCACCACCAAACAGAATGAGGCCCTGCATGGCCATCTGTCAGGGCCTGCTTTATACATGTGAGCCATCCCTATCTACTTAGTGAGTATCCTCACTGTGGATAAAACCGCCCCCGCCCGGGACACCTGACGCTCAACCTCGGGGGGACTTAAGAGTGGTCCCTTCCTGATGCCCGTGTGACGCCCCCCATCACACACAGAGGGGCTGTCCCCTCTGTCTCAGGCCTGAGCCCTCGTGAACCATGAGGTCCTCTCCCGTGCCTTCTCCCCAGCCTGGGCCCTGCTGGGGGGCTCCAGGGCTTCTGCCTTCCCGAACCCCCATTCTGAGCATCCCAGCCCCCTTCCCTGGCCCGTGAGGTCCACAGAGAGCAGCTCCGTCCAGAGGCTGCCCGCCGCCCGCCCAGCCTCCCCGCCCCGCCGGCCTTTGCAGCCCCCCACGGGCCCTGGCCGGACGTCTGCAGTCCCTGGGGAGGACTGTAGTCCCTGGAGGAGGAGGAGGCTCGGCTGAGAAGACCTGCCTGGCACCTGAGGGGCCGAGGCCGCCCGCCTTCAAGGGCCTCCCCTTCTCCTGGGTGTGACGAGGGCGGAGGAGAGAGAACGCCCGTGAGCATCGTCCCAGGGACTTGCTCTCGTCATTTTGTCCCCTCTTCGCGGAGGCCCTTTAGGGAGGGAGCACACCTAGGAGTCATCCCCAACTCCTTTCAGCTTCAGCCTCAGACCCCGCCCCTGTCTGGTCCTCTAGGCTCTCTGCGTAAAGTACATCCAGACTCTGGCCACCCTCCCCACTTGCACTGTGGCCGTCCCCCCCTGCCCCCCGCAGCCCCGGAAGACCACCGTCTTCCCTCCCCTGTTACGGGTGCGTCTCCGCAGCCAGCTGTGAAGCCACACGTGTCATCTGTCAGCTCAGAAGCCTCTCCTGGCTTTTCCGTGCTCGTAGGCGTGCCCAGCCAGGGAGGGGTAGGGTTAGCCTGGAGCAGCACATCACTCCCTCTCTCTGGCCTCATTTCCTTGTCAGCAAACAGGGGCCGGGAGAGCTGGGCTTTGGGGGATGAGTGGGAGTTCACTGGGCCAAAGAAAGAGGGAAAGACAGCCTAGACAGAAGGAGCAGCCATGCCGAGGCGCGGCGGTCGTAAAGCTCGTGAGTAGCAGCCCGTCCTTGGTTCGGCCCGAGGATAGGACGTGTGGAGCCAGGGAGAAGGATGGAGCCCTGGACGCTAGGCAGAGAAGGTTGGACTTCGTTTTCTAGGAGGAGGAACCATGGCAGCTAGAGAAGGGGCGGAGAATCACGTGATTGCATCTGTGTTCTCTGAACTCGCTCAAGGAACATACTGGGGAGAGACAGGCTGGGACACATATATTAAGCACCGACTGTATGCAGGGCCTCAGAGGGCTCGGCCATCAGAAGATGGATTTCCCTTTAGGGTGAAGCTCAGCTTGTACGATTTCCCCTCAAAATAGCCACCAGCCCTGCAGTGACTAGCTCTGGGGTGTCCACGGAGAAAAGCTTGCTGGGACGGGACTGAGGTGCCGCTGGCTGGTACCCACTGGGCTGCCGAGCTGTGAGCCAAGGCCGGTCTCCCATCCTTGGAGCCAAAGCCCATCCCTGGCCTTCGCCTCCTTCGCCCTCTCAGCTGCACCAGACACACGGGACCCTGAGCTGGCCCCCCGCTTCTGCACATGGGGCCGATGGTGCTCGGGAGCCACCTGGGCTTCTAGCTGACGGGGCGCCACGGAGCCAAGCCTTCCTCCCGGCTCCGGGCAGGGGAGGGCCTGGACGCCCGTCCCCGCCAGGCCCGCCTCCCCTCTGGTCTTCCACGAGGAGGAGTGGAGAGCCGCGGGCCATGCTGCCGTCCCCTCGATCCTAGAGCAGGGATCCTGACTCTAGCCCAGGGGCCCAGCTGCCGGCCTCAGAGCGGTCACCCAGGTCTCCAGGGCTCTCAGAGGTGGCGAGGTCCCGTCACCTCATGGCCTGGCCAAGGGTTAAAGAGCACGGGCCTCGGGCCTAGGCTTATTAGGCGGGACGCTGAGGATCAGAGTGGTTGAGCAACTTGCCCAAGGTCACACAGGCAGCTGGGCATAGTGGAGAGCTCAGCCCTGAACACCTCTAGTGTCTGCATCCCCACCGGCCGTCCACGGGCACAGGTAACGTTGTGCTGTGTGTGTGTGTGTGTGAGTGACCCCACTCTTAGGTGACGCCTGGGGTCTCCTCTTGGCCTAGATCCCCACACCCGCCCCGTCTGCAGCACCGAGGCACCAGCCTCGGTGGGAGCCGGTGAGATGCCCTTCTCCCTTGAAGGATGCCTGGGACCCTTGAGATGGGCGTTTCACACCGGCTTTAGAATTGAACTCTTGAGTCGCTCAGAGATGCGAAGGCAGAACCTCTGCCCCCAGCCCGCCCCGTCCTCCTTGCCCCTGCGCTGAGGTCACCTCGGTCCCGGGGGTCCTGTTTGTTGCCCCCTGGCCCTGGAGGACAGGCGGGGTCAGATCTGGCCAGCTGCCTTCCATCAGCCTGGAGCCATGCCTTCCTCCCCAGTTCCTCCAGGACCCCGTGGGAGCTCAGCACATATCATTAGACTTTATTAGAATCAAAGAAATGAGTCATATTTGCAAACAAGCCCTGCTCAGCCAATCTCCCCCGGCAGCTGTCAGAAGGCGGAGGCGGCGTGGAGAGAGCCCGGTGCGGCCTCCTTCTCGGGGCGGACGGGCTCTTTTATAATTGTTGCCTCCGCCAGTCTCCAGGGAAGAGCTATCGCCAATAAATGGCTGGCCGGCATTCAAAAGGAAACGATTTGGCCCACTCGGAGGACGTATTTACATCTCTGAGTGCCGGCTGGACGGCAGCGGGGCGGCCGACTCCAAACAGACGTCCAGGCGATTCTTTTTTGGATCCCACCCTGGAATGAATCAGTCCTATTCTCGGACAAGAATGCAGCTCACCTCTCGGCCTCCTACTCTCTGTGTGAGGGGTGCGGAGAAGCCTGGGGTGCTGGGGCCTCTCACCAAGGATAGCATCATACCCAGTGCATGGGTGACTGGTCCCCAGGGTGACATCAGAGAAAAAGAACCAGAGCCAGGGCTGATGGTTTGTTTGTTTGTTTGAAATCTGGGTGATTTCAGGTGAATTCCTGAACCTCTCTGAGCCTCAGTTTTCCCATCAACCAAATGGGTGTAATTAATCAACTTCACTCATGTCTGTTGAGCACTCACTATGTTAGCCAGGCGCTGTTCTGGATCCAGCAATGGTCAGGACAGACACAGGCCCCTGCCTCCATGAAGATGACGCTTCGGTAGGACAGACAGACATGAGACAGATAGTGCAAGTAACATTGTAATAGACAAGCGATGATAAGTGAAGGAAGATACAGCCGAGAGAGGGAGGGAAAGAGGGTTGACCAGGAGTGCTTTTTCCATCGGGTGGCCAGGAAAGGCTGCCTTGGTGGAGGGGTGGTGTGCAGCCAGTTCAAAGGTCCCGAGGCCGGGCGGGACTGGACCTGTTCAGGGCACATACCTGAAGCCAGTGCAGGTCAGGGAGGCGGGGCAGGGGCCCTGGGGATGAGGACGTTGTGCATGGACCTCGTCCTGGACGGGTCCCCTGTATGCCCGTGGTCCCAGCCTCTTCTTAACAGGCGCCACCCTGTCTCTTTAAGACGTCTGTGTCTGACTGTCAGAGTGCTTGGCCAGCCCACTCAGGGAGGCAGGAAGGAATGGGGCAGGGAGGTGGGAGCCACAGGAGGCGTGACACCTGCCTTGGGTGTTGCCAGATTCTGTCTTGATAAGAACAGACTGGGGGTGAGAGTGGAGGCTGGAATATCACCGGCGAGGCTGCTGAAACAGCGCTCGGGGAGCAGTGGGAGCCGGGACAGGGGTGGGGTGATACGGCCGGATTTGGGGGAACTTGTGCAGCCTCTGGGAAGGTCGGGGGCACTGGTGAGGGGCAGGCCCTCCCTCTGGGGTCCGGCACTCTACAGCTTACCGAGCACTCCCATGCACCAGAGCGGCAAGGCCCAACAGATCCCGGGCCGGGCCTCGTGGGCGTCCGACAGGAAAAGGTCCTTCAAACTGTGTCTGTTCAGCAGGGATTCCGATGGGCCCGCACGCTCTCCGGCCTCCCGGCCACCCCCGAGATGACTTTGGAAAAGACGTTGGTTACTTTGGCCGGGAGCCCACGTCGGGTTCTGTTATGACAACCCCTGACTGACAAAAGGACTTTGGTTCCGTTCCTAGAACGTCTGCACGGCCAGCCCCTTGCAAGCCTTTGTAAGAACCTTAATTTTTGTGAAGGTGGTATGTGCCCATTAACAGCGTTCAGATGGTTTGAGAAACACATTCCATGGCCAGTGAACCCCGCTCCGCCGCATCCCCCGGGCCAGCGGCTGCACCGTTTGCCTCGTGTGTCCTCATCACGGGCCTCACCCCTGGGACGTCGCCCCTTACCAACGCGCGGGGAGATCCCTGCGGTCTCGCAGGCTGCGTGACACTCCGCCCCGCGCCTGCTGCACGGCTGCTCGGACCCCTCCCATGGCCCTCTGGGTGGCTGGTTTCCTGCCGTTTGCTCCTGCAGACAGCCGAGGTGAACAGCCTGAGGTGTGTGCTAAGTCGCTTCAGTCATGTCTAACTTTTTGCGACCCCATGGACCGTAGCCCACCAGGCTCCTCTGTCCGTGGGATTCTCCAGGCAAGAACACTGGAGTGGGTTGCTGTGCCCTCCTCCAGGGGATCTTCCCAGCACAGGGATCGAACCCGCTTCTCTTATATCTCCTGAATTGGCAGGTGGGTTCTAGTGCCACCTGGGAAGCCCGAACAGCTTAGGGTGGACCCTGTCATTGGCCATATCATCCGGGAGAGTCTTGGGATAGAATTGCTGGATCGCAGGAAAGGTGCCTTCAACGGTTACTGTTGGCACCTCGGAGGGGCTTTGCCACCAGCCATGGAGAAGCAAGTGCATGACTCGGTTTGCCCGTTGTGGCCTCCGTGGCTGGGCAGCTGCCAGAGCAAGCCCACGCGGGCCCCTCCTGTCCGTAGTGGGCACCACGGGTTTGCCCAGCGCAGTGGTGGGAGCTGGCAGGAGGATGCCAGTGACCTGAGCATGTGGCGGGTGTGGTCAGAATCGGGGCTCTGGGGCTTCGGGCTCCTCGGTCAGCTCACCCCTAAGGAGAAAGGAAAGGCCTTCTTGTGACTGGACACCCCGCGGCACTGGCTGAGCACCTGCTGTGTGCCTCCTCCGCAGTGTATCTGGAGTCTGGTAGGCAAGACAGACTCCCCCCAAGGGCGATGTCGAGGGTGAGGGGGTGACCAGGGAGCTGGAAGGACACTAGTCATCCAGAGCATCGCAGGAGACCTCCCTGGGAGCCTGGAGAGGTGCCTCCCCGAGGCTGCCCATTCACACGGAAGACTTGGCCGCTGCCCAGCAGGCCCCAGCTTCGTGGAAGGAGCCGAGCCCTGGAGGCCGTGCCGGGAAGGGCTTTGTTCTAAAGCTACCGCAGGGCCAGACCCATGTACTTGTACTTGACCAGGTGCATGGCCTGCTCGCGAGGATGCCCTAGGCCCTGAGGGTCCAGCGAGCCCTGCCGAAGCAAAGCCTGGAACTATTCTTGTTAAAGTGAGGCTCCGTTTTCTGTGTTAATCAGAAAAGGTACTGGAGCCGGGTGAGCACTGGCTTTGGGGGCCGGACAGCCCCAGTATACGGTGCCAGCTCTGCCACCTGCTGGCCATGTGTCCGTGGGTGGTTGGATTCCCCAAGCCTCAGTTTTCCCCATCTGTAAAATGGGGCCAGGGACTCTCAGGCCTTGGAACCAGATGAGATAAATTAGAAAAGCCTCGTTGATGCGACCTCGGTGCCTGCGGGAGCCCCTGGATGTCGGGGTGACCCGCAGAAAAGCCTGAGTGCCAGTTGAGGTGGGAATCTTGGATTTATTCAAGGTCCTCATGTTGAAGCTTCTTTGGAGAAAACTGAGAAGCAGTGAGAAAGTGTCCTGGGCCGGCGGCCCTCTGAGCCCTGACCCTGGGGATTGGCCTGCACGCAGACTGGCTGAGAGCTGCGGATGGCCTGGGAGCAGGAGCTCGGACTTGTGTTTTGCAGAAGGGGACACGGAGGGCAAGTCCAGTGCCCCCCCTTGCCTCTCCTGCCCGAGACTGTGGCCCCTGAATGGGGAGCTGGGTCTTGAGGGGGCGCCAGCTTCTAGGGAGCAGGAGCCTGTGATGGCAGAGCCCTGGGGGCCGGTGTCCCTGTGCTCAGCCTGGCTGCCCTCCGTCACTGCCACAGCAGTCGGAGCGCTGGGACCACGGGGTCGGTTTCTGGGCATTAAGTCTCATCGTCTCTCAGCAGCCTGCTGGCCCCACTCCAGCTTCAGGAGGCGTCTGCCCCTCGGGGGCATGTCTGAGTAGCGCTGTGGGCATCTCCCCTGGTCAGCGCGGCTCTTGGACCCCAGAGGCCCAGGCTCTGCCCTGTGATACTCGTCTGTGATGATCGTCCTTCAGACCGTTCACGCACCTCCTCCCAAGCCCTCCTCCCAAGTCGCAACCCTGGCCGGGGGCAGGGGAGGCAACAGCTCTCCCTGGGTGCCCAGAGCTGCCCTGGGGTCTCAGCGCCGAGACAGTAATGACCGCCGTGGTTTACTGGCTGCTGGCGGCATCCAGGGCCAGTAGTTTGTACTTCGTGTGGCTTTTCTCCTAACCCTACAGAGAGGTGTTTGGGTGTCCTGCAACCACAAATACAACCAACACCCTGGAGACTTATCTTTTAGCAAGAGATCCAGATAAGGAATGGGGGCAAAGAGGGACAGGACAGAGAATGTGGGGTGGAGGGGGAGTGAGGTAGGTGGTTATTCCCATTTTAGAGATGAGGAGACTGAGGCAGGCAGCGGTCACACGCTGGAGCCCAGTTGGAACCCAGTGTCTGGCCCACAGGGGACACTGGGCAAGGGCCTGTGAGAATCGATCACACGGGAATCAGTACCTAGTTCACAGATGAGGAAACTGAGGCTTAGGGGTTTAACCTAACTTGCCCGAGGCCTGGCTGGATAGAACCCAGGTTCACCTGACTCAGGAGTCCAGACCCACACCCCCCGGTGGCTGGCTTCCCCACGACTCTGTGAAACCAGGGTTACCTGAGATTTCCCGAGACCCGCGGGATTCCACAGCTTGGAGCCGGGGCTGAGCCGCAGCCTCTTGGAACCCCAGTGCCGGCTCTCCCAGCCCCGGGCCAGCCCGTCTGACTTGGGGCTCTGTTTGCTTGAAGGCGGAAGGTGCTGAGCCTGTCTTCCGGGATTGACGAGCCGGGCGCGCTGAAGTGGGACCTTGCTCTCTGCCTCCTGCTCGTCTGGCTGGTCTGTTTCTTCTGCATCTGGAAGGGCGTCAAGTCCACGGGCAAAGTGAGTTCTGCTCCCCTCCCCTCCTGCCTCGTGGAGCCTGGCCCTCTGCAGGGTCATCTCCCGCGCCCCCGGGGCCCTCCTGCTCAAAACTGGTCCTGCTTAACCAGTTCTTCTAGCAAACCTGGAGCCCCCTCGGTTGTGGCATTTGCCCATTTCACAATGCAAATCCGCCCAGCAGGTCCAATTTCAAGTTACTGATGATTTGACAATCAGCCTGCAAGATTCCTGAAATGGAGCGGTCTGCTCTCCAAACTGGAGAAGGAAATGGCAACCCACTCCAGTGTTCTTGCCTGGAGAATCCCAGAGGCGGCGGAGCCTGGTGGGCTGCCGTCTATGGGGTCTCACAGAGTCGGACACGACTGAAGCGACTTAGCAGCAGCAGCAGCTCTCCAAAAGCCCACACACCACTGGTACCCCACTAGGGAGTGGTGGCTTGCGTGGATGTTAGCAGATAACAAACCCTGAGACGCCAGTGAGAAGTTAACTGGTAACGGTGTTGTTAGCTACCAACTGCTCACCAGCCACAGGGACCCTTGCGACCTCAACATCCCCTGTAGACTCTTTAGAAATGCAGACCTGCGGGGCTGACGCCAGACCTACAGAATCAGAAGCTGCATTTGAACACTTTTTCCCCAGATAATCCAAATGCACACTGAGGCTTGAGAAGCAAAACTTCTCAACTGGCATTTTTGCAGCTAAGTCAGGTTAACTGAATTATCTTAGGCCTTACATTTCAGCTGTTAACGAGGATGTTAGTTATTAAGGAGAGCTTGCACCAATCGTTAAGTAGTTTGCTGATAACCTAAGCGCTGGCTGTCGCTGAAGTATCTGCTGCTGGTTAATATGTTATGTAGTGACCAAAACGTTAGCTGTTAACAAAGGTGGTAGCTGAAAATTCCTGTTACTTTATTCACGCAGGTTTGAAGTGCAGCTGGTATATTGTCAATAATGAAACTGTTAGCCTGTAACTGAAACGTTACCTGTTAACAGGGCCAGGCAATGGCTGATCTGATAAGCAGAACACCAGCCAATATAATACCATAGTCATCCTGGAGTCAGAGACCCTCCAGAGGGTCACCTTGGGCTCACCCGGGTGAACCCAGGGCGCTAACTAAGCCACAGTGTTGGCTGGTCTGCCCTCACGTGCCCCGTGTCTGCCATCCCCCAACCACCTTCATTTGCATCTCCACTGGGGACAGTCTCTTTAAGATCGAGACTCCCTCAAAGGGCAAAAGAGTTAAGGTGGCATTTGAAGGACAGTGATGGACAGTGGGTGATGTCATTGGGAGAAGGGACTTTTCACTGCGAGTTCTCACTGGGTGAAGGGCGTCTTAGGTAAAGTCATGATCTGAAGAGACAAGAGCTAAAGGGGGAGCATAACGTGGTGGAGAAAGACAGGAGTATTGGGTGCAGTTTTGGGCAAGGCTCACCAAGAAGTTCGCTTAGAGGCGTAGATCTGGAGGAAGTGAGGGGTGAGCCATTCAAAGGCCCAGAGGTGTGTCTGACCAGACCCCCGGGGAGCCCCTAGTCCGATGGAGGAGCTGATGTCCACCAGGAACCGTGAGCCTCACCCGAGACACGTGCAGGGGCAGGAGACCAGAGTCGAGACGAAATGGAGAGGGCGCGGGTCTGTCCCAGGGCGGCTGACGGACGTGACTGGCTGGAGGTCCCCCTGCCGCCCCCAGAGAAGAGGCTCCAGGCCCCCAGGGGCGGGCGTGGTCCCCAGAACAATAGCAGGGCTGGGGCCAGCCCCCGGGGAAGCCAGGACAAACACAGGGAGGATCCGAGGACTTCCTCGAGCCCCGCGGCCGCCCGCTGCTGGCCGCGACTCCCAGCCCTGGCCGTAGACCAGGTTTGCAGCCGCGGTGGGGGCCGGATGGCCTCATCCTGGCTGTGGCCTTGCTCAGTGGCTGACCCCGGCGTGGCCGGGGCTGGGGAGGGGAGAGCTCCCAGGCCTGGGAGGCTCGAGACCCGAGTTCAGGTCACTTGGCCTCCCTGGATGTCAGTTCCCTTGTTTGTAACATCATTCATCCTTCTGAGGGTCTGACACTTCGCCCAGAGCTCACTGCTGCTCAGTTCATCCAAGAAATTGTGATCGTGGTGCGAAAGCTTGTGCCAGGCACCGTTCTCAGCTCTGATTATTAGCTCTTTTAATCTCCTGGCGTCTGATGTACGCGTGGCTCCTGCTCTGTTTTACAGAGGAGGTGGTAAGAGGAGATGTTTTGGGGGAAATGGAGAGGCAGAGAGGTTGATTTGTTCAAGTCGACACAGCTTGTCGGTAGCCCGGGTAGCATTTGAGTTCGGGCAGCCCAGTGCCCGGCCTCGGGGCCCTGCATTCTCCTGCCTCCGCTGGTCGCCTGCTCTTGCAGCACATTAGGCCACAGGGGGTTACAGGGATCCAGACCCTCCCACGGAAGGGCGGCCCCATGAACCCCACCGGGAGTTCCAATCCCAGACGCGAGCACACGCCAGTGTCTCCAGACCTGGTGTGGGGTCTCGGCTCTGTGCCCGCAGCCTGCATGATCAGTCCCTTCCCCCAGGAGCCTCAGTGAAATGAGCCCCTGTGTGAAATGAGTCGTGGTGCTTCCCCCAAACACACATGAGGTGCTTGGCGCCTGCCAGGCCCTGGGCCTCTGGGGTGAGGGACCCGCGCTGCCCAGGCGACCTCCCCAGAGGAAGCCCAGGGAGGCAGAGACACCAGCCTGTCTCCCTCATGCCTGGCCGGCCACCCTCTGCCCGCCATCCCCGGGGGAGGAGGAAGCGCTGGCTTTGTAAGTTTCCAGGGCAGTCGGGCCACAGGGCTTTTGGGTCGCGGGCTCAGAGCTGCCACAGAGGTTTGCCAGCAAGAGTGGAAAAATACCGTATCCCGGCACAGGGCCCCTGCCAGAGGCCCACTGGTGGCGCCTGGCAGAGCCGCTCCCGCAGGGATCCCGAGAGTCACGGGGAGGCTGAGAGGATGGCGCTCAGGGACTGGGCCTCGGCAGATTCTGCAAAACAAGGGTGTCCTGCCAGAGAGGCCGCCATGGTGGTGTGAGCAGGTGGGGTGTGCTGCCCTGGGCTTGGGGAGGAAGCGTGCACACACAGACACAGACACACACAGGCACACACACACAGACACGCATGCATATACATAGACACACACAGGCACACACATAGACAGACACACACACAGAGACACACAGACACACACTCACAGGCACACACACATAGACAGACACACAGACACACACAGGCGCACACACACAGACATAGACACACACACAGACACACACACACACGCCAGGCCTGGGAGGTGTCCTGTGTCCCCAACTCGAAGCCCCCCACCCTCGCCCGCCTGCCCAGCCTGGGGGCCCAGGGGGGCCTCGCGCTTTGAGGCGGGGCCCTCCGCCCTGGCCCACGGCTGTCAGCACCATTGTTCTCCGTGGGGCTGGGGCCGGGGCCGGGGCCAGAGCAGCCTGTGGGCCAGCCGTCTTTCTTTTGCCCCTTCTGTGGCTTCCTGGCCAGCCCCCACCCTCCACGTCTGCCCGCTGGTCCCTAGGACACAGAGGGCTCTCCTGTCTTCGGGAGAAGACTGCAGGGCGGCCGGGGAGATGGGCCTGCAGATACGGAGGGGGCTTCAGGTGGGGATGTGGAGCCCAGAGAGGGGCCATAGCTTGTCCAGGGTCTGACAGCCAGCCTGCCGCAGAGCCGGATCTCCGGCCTGAGCCCTGGAGCCCTCGGGGACCCTCTCTGGGAGGACCGGACAAACCGCAGACGTTGAGGGGCCCTTTCCTGCCATGCTGTCGTCGCTGAAGCAGGTGCTAGACCATCCAGCTCCGCCGCCTGAGTGCCGTGTGACCCGTGGGCAAGGGACGGCTCTGCGGGCCTCGGTTTCCCCATCTGCAGGACGGGGTCAGGGCAGGACCCGCTGAGCACGGAAGTTACTGCACATGCATCGCACCCAGCACACAGGAAGCGCTCGGTAAACCCTGGCAGCTGGCACTGGCCGGGGGCAGCTGAGCCCGGCGGGCCCTGAGAGCTTCCTTCGCGCCCTTTTCAAAGCCCGCTTTTAGTTGTTTCTACTCGAAGCGGCTTCATCAAGGCTTCCCGCGGCAGCTGGGCGAGGCTCTGTCACCCTCTGTCTGTGTCTGTCACCTGGGTCCCGGGAGTGCCCCGTACTGTCCTGGCACTGTCCCCGCCCCCAGCGCCGCGAACCTTCATCCTGCTCTCTGGGCCTCAGTTTCCACACCTGGAAAATGGGCGCACTGGCCATGCAGTGGCCCCCTCCCTGGTCCTCCGACCCCCTCAGAAGGAGCTGGGGGCTCTGTAAGCTAGCCTCAGCATTTCTGCCGGTCACCACGGACTTTCGCATGTCCGCCACCACGCACCAAGATGCCCTGTGCGCAGTGGTGGTTTGAAGACATCTGGGAGCCCCGCCCAGCCTCTGTTCATCCTCCGACAGCAAGGCGGCCAGCACATCGATTTGCGGACGTGCTGAGCATGGGGTAGGCTGCTTCTCAGGAGACCGGGCTCAGCCAGGGCCCAGCCGAAATAGCGGGATTTCACTGTCAATGCCCCCGGGCACCTTCGAGCCCCATCTCAGGCACACGCCCCTCCTGGGAGCTTCTTGTGCTGGAGTGAAAGTTGGGAAAATCCAATCTGTAAACGGAGGCCACAGGAGGTTTGAAGGCCAGTGCTTTGGGGACAGGACGGGGAGAGGAAGCAGGGCAGGGCCCTCGGGGATGGAAAGGCGTGGCCCGGGTCGTGTGTGGTCCCCGCCTGCCGTTGACCTCACCCTGCCTGGGACGTGAGGCGCGACGCATCCTGGTTTCCTCTCCAGAAGTTCCCCAGTGCTTCCTGCACAATCACCCGGCCAACAAAAGACCCCACTTTTTGCACGTCTAAGCAGCCACCTGCCTTGTGCTGTTTTGACCACGTTGTGAGCATCATTCTGTTGAATCCTCGCCTTGCCCAGTAGTGAGGGCCTTCTGTTTCTCTTATCCCCACTTTACACATGAGGCCACAGGCCCAGAGAGGGTAAGCATCATGCCCGAGGTCACACAGCACATGAGGGGACGGAGCAAGGATTTGATCCCACACGTACCTGGTTCTGAACCTCAGGTCATATGAACGCTGCAAATGTTCAGTTGCTCATTCGTGTCTGACTCTGAGACCCCATGGACTGCAGCCCGCCAGGCCTCCCTGCGAATGTTAGCTGATCCGTACTGCGCGCTGTGGGCCAACCCCTGGGCATCCACCTGCGATCGTTTACTCTGTTATTGGGCCTTTTCCTTTTTTCACCCGCTGCAATGTCAGTTCCATGAGGGCAGGTACTGGTTCTCTGTATTTGCAGGGCCCCGTAAATATTTGCAGGATTCGAATGTCAGTAAGTCTGTGTGTGAGGTAGATACGTGCTTTATACCCAGGTTGCCAGTGAGGCGCCTGCAGCCCAGAGAGGGTGAGCCACACACCCAAGGTCAATCAGCAAGGGAGGCAGCAAGCCTGGCCCTGGAGCCTTGGCCTTGGAGCACGTGCTGGGTCGGGGAGTGGCTGAACGGCTCCCGCCCCCTGCAGGTCGTCTACTTCACGGCCACCTTCCCGTTCGCTATGCTCCTGGTGCTCCTCGTCCGTGGGCTGACGCTGCCCGGCGCAGGCGCAGGCATCAAGTTCTACCTGTACCCCGACATCAGCCGCCTGGAGGACCCAGAGGTACCGCGGGGCAGCCTGGCCTCCCTACCCCACCCCCACCCCCCGGGGCCGGCACGGGGCGGGGGAGGGGAGCGGGGAAGGAAACCGAAGCCGTGCCTGTGCTTCTGGGCCCCCAGATGGAGCCGGGGTCGGGGGGGGCGGGTACTGCCAGCCCTGGTACTTTTCCACTGGGCCCTGGCGGGTGGCTCACGGTGCCCGCCGGCCATCCCGGCGGTGTGTATCTTTTCGTGTCGAGGGCCTCCCGAGGCGGGCCAATTATAGAGGCTGCTTTAGGCACGGCGCCAGGTAAGGCAGAGACGTCTCCGGAAGCTGGTCTCCCCCTCTCCCCACGGCGGCCTTGAGGCTGCATCGTGGGGGCGCCCTGGGCTGAGGGCGGAGTTCAGAGTAGTGACCTCTTAGAAGTTCCGGGGGGCAAACACTAACGGTCCCCCCCCCCCCACCGAGGCACTCAGCCACGTGGCCGTGGGGGTCGGAGCTCTCATGGGCCCATTTCGGGGCCTTCTGTCCCCAGGGTCCTCAGCCTTTAGGTTGTCCCCAAGGGCCTGTGCCGCTTCAGGTCTCTTCCCCACGATCCTCTCACCCTGGGCGGGAGGTGGGGGCCAGGGGCTTGGCCATCGTTGGCGGGCAGCTGGGAGATGGCTGGGAGGCCCTCGGGAGCTGCCTGCCGAAGGTTCTGGAGAACGGCTCTGCCTGCATAATCCATCCGGGAATTCCTCCCACTTCCAACTCAGGCGGGGGTCCCCACACTATACGGATAGCAGCCTTGACTCACAGGTTACCGTGTATCTGGCGCTGGGCTAAATCTTAACTCTTTGAGCCTGCAAAAAAAAAAAAAAAGAAGCGCTATGGGGCAGGGGAGCGGAGCCCACTTTACAGGTGTGGAAACCGAGGCTCCGGGAGTCATATTGACTTGCCCCCGATGATTCCGTGGCTGGACTCCACGTCCCTCCGCCTCAAAAGCAGGGCCTCTTAACCCTGATGCTCAGTGAACTGGGAGGGGGGGCGGCTCTTAGGCTTCTGGGGTTCTGCTTGCCCCCTGGATTCCGGCACCGATGCTCCAGTCGCATGGAAAGTCCGCACACCTCGAGGCGGAGTCCGTGGGGCCCACGCCACCGCCTCCAGGAGGCCGGCTCTGACATCCCTTCTCGTCTTGTCTTCGCCTCCCTCCCCCGCCCCCACGCCCTTCCCAGGTATGGATCGACGCTGGGACCCAAATATTCTTCTCCTACGCCATCTGCCTGGGGGCCATGACCTCGCTGGGGAGCTACAACAAGTACAAGTACAACTCCTACAGGCAAGTGTCGCGCCAGCAGGCCTGGCGGGCCTTAGGAGTGGTGATGCTTAACGAGAAGAAAGAAAGAAGCTAGGGAGCGTGGCCTCCTTGCGTTGTGAATTAACTTGCTCCCTGACATATGTGTGACATAGGGACTGTATGCTGCTGGGATGCCTGAACAGTGGTACCAGTTTTGTGTCTGGCTTCGCAATTTTTTCCGTCCTGGGCTTCATGGCACAAGAGCAAGGGGTGGACATTGCTGATGTGGCTGAGTCAGGTACGGTGGCGTCGGTGGCAGCGGTGGTGGGCACTGCCACCCAGTGTGTGAGCCGAGGACTGCAGGCGTGCAGCCGGACCCCGCCCGGGGGCTTCGGGGGGCGGCGAGCCTGGCTTCTGAAACGCACCCCCACCCCACCCCCTTCTTGCACCGTGATGTCCCCCAGGTTTCAAAGACTTCAAAAGTTAAATGGGAAACATCGCTGCAGTTTTGCCCCAGGGATGGCAGAAACACGGGGCTGGTCAAGTCGAGGGAATACTCAGCGCTTCTCAAGTGGTCTTTCCGCACGCACCGCCCCCCCCCCCCCCCGGCCCCCACCCCACTCCCTGTCCTTCCCTATAGCAAACTCCCGGCTTCAGCAACAGAAAGCACTTTCCTCACTCGGGGCAGGGCAGCCACCCGTCGGCATCCCGTCGCCACCTTCTCAGCTTTGGTTTCTGTATTTTGCACTTTGCTCTAAGCGACCCCCTTCATTCATCCCACCACTGTCTCCTGGTTTGACTGGGTCGGTCTCTGACCTCTGTCAAGCACCCACCGTTTTTGCCCCAGCTGGGGAAGGACCGGGTGTGACAGGCCGCCCTCTGGGACGGTGACAGGTTCAGTTTGGGGGTAGGTTGTGGAGACCCCTCCACCCCTCGGGGGTGCGGGCTCCATGGGTGGGACGCTCCCCTCTGCAAGACAGCTGCAAGTGGAGTTGGTCTTAGAGCCAGAGTCTGCAGAGCCTGGAGGCTGAGGCTGGGATCCTGGGGTTCCAGCAAGATGGCTCTGGAACGCGAGAATTGTCAGGGCTTCAACTGCCATGACCCCAGAGCCTCAGAAGCCTAGGTGCCCCATTTCCAAGAGGTGCCCCCACGAGCTCCCAGTCCTGGGCCCACGGCTCTGAGCGGCAGGGCTTCCATGTGGCCCTGAGACCTCTCTCCCAGGACCCCCGGGGTCCACCTTTCCGGCTCCTCTGCCCGCCTCCCATCCTGCCCAGGTCACCCAGAGGGCGGTTGTTGCGCTTGTGCCCAGCCTGACCTGACTTGCCAGGAGCCCTCAGGGGCCACCTGGGGGCAGGTGAGGGCCCTAGACTGAGGCTTCTCCCAGGGCCGAGAGGAAACCGCAAGGTCCCGACTGTCGGGGCGCAGGCTGGAGTTCTTGTCCTTGTTGGAAACACAGGGTGGTGTCCTGGCTCCCCAGCCGGAGACCCTAGTGTTGGAGCTTGGGGACCTCAGCATCGTGTATTCAGAGGTCAGTGCCACCCCTGCGACCAGCAGCTTGAGAGCAAGGGCTGCTCAAGGTCGGATCTACGGTGTCCTGGGCAGGGTGCCCACCAGAGGCTGGACAGGCCCCTCTCACGTGAGGACGTGCCCCCTCCGGCCTCCCCGTCCCACCCTGCACGTATGTGATGGCCTCAGGCCCGTGGTGTGTGAGCCTCTCAGAGCCCCAGGCCCCGCTTCCCCCCACCCCGGCCCCCTCCTCCTGCACCCAGTGCTGCGGGGCAGTCCTGGCCAGCCCACGCCTCGGCCCCACACCTCTGCCCTGTCCCGGGTCCCAGATCAGACGTTTAGACAGAGTTCTCCTTCCCTGGGAGCCCTCAGAGGCAGGCTGGAGACTGAGGGACCCAGGAAGTAGTTGCAGAAGTGAAGAAGCCACGCCCGCGTGGGAGTCTGGCAGAGTGACCGAGGGGAGAGTTGACACCCCCTTTGCAAATGGCTATTCTTCAGCTGAGGGCTTGCCAACCAATTCTGATTGGTGGGGGATGGCCAGGAGCATGGAGGGAGTTGAGCGGTGGGAGGTAATCTGTCGGTACATGAAACAGATCCTTCTCTGCAGACAGCTAGGTACCATAACCTACGTCTTCACCATCAAGCTAAGTTGTGTCTTATTCCCGTCCACTTCAAAGACCTTGTTGTTTATTCCCCCACGGTGATGTCTGAACAGCCGACACATCAAGGGTGATTATTTCACTAATAAGCTTTTTAACAAGGACCATATTGAGTGAAGTGCATTGGAACAAGATAATTATTTAACCACGAGGAGCGCACATTGCAAACGAAGCGTAGCGTGGGCGTCTCTGCTGCCCAGGGGCTCCAGTGGCTGCTGCGTCTCCCGCCCTCCGTCTTCAGTCCCCTTGCTCTCAGAGAAGGATGCTCAAACCCTCTCCCCGAGGCTGGCCTGAGAAAGGCCACACACTGAAATACAGAAGTAGCTGTCGAAAAGCCTCGGGGCCCAGCGGGCGGGCGGGGGTGGGCTGGGGTGGGGGCCCCATTTTACATCTGTCTCGCTGCGGCTGGGTTGACCCCTCCCGTGCCGCCTACGGTCAGGCCGGAGCTGACGTGGGGGTCCCAGGGGGCCCCAGCCGCGTGGAGATGAGGGTCCTACTCCAGTCAGGGCTTTGGGTTTGGGACGAGCGCCCTTGCACCCCTCCTGGGGGTCTTCCACCATCGCCTCCGAGGACACGGTTGCAGTCACGGTCGGACTTTGCTTACATCAGGGTGGACTCTGGACATAACGGGACTCACCCTCGCCGCCACGCGTGTGGTCAACGCCGTGCGATGTGGTTTCCAGCTGCAATTTGTTTCAAAGCTGTTTTTTGTTTTTCTTTCTTAGACCGTTCATTTTGTTCCCGATCCCTGTTTTACTGTTTTAAATATCCTGTCCTCCAGCCCTGTTTGTTTCACATTTCTTGACTTTTTTCTTTTTTTTTTTCAGTTGTGGATTTTACTTTATATTTTTTCTTTAGCCCAAGCCCTTCTCTCTTTTGCGGCTCCCGACCCCCTGGGGAACCCACAGGCCTCGGTTACAACTCATCCTTTCTCCCGGTTGTCTTCGCTCAGGCCCAGCTGGAGGCGGGAGGGGACGTTTGCAATTGGAGGCACCCCCAGAACTGGTGGGGATTCTCCCTGCGTGTCAGAGCACCCCCTGGAGGCCACAGCCCTTTGCCAAGGAAGTGGCCCCAGCACCCGATAATCTGAGCAGGAGAAGCCTCCTTGGGGTTCACTGATGGGAGCCTGCCCCCCACCCCTGCGGGGAGACTGTCCCCTGAGGGCACGTGGTGATGTGGAGTGAGGAGGTGGTGGGCGGAGGACTGGACTGCGGCCAGGGGGCTGCCCGCCTGGGGTCTTACCCCGCTCACCCCTCCCTCGGCTTTGGGCCTGGGCTGTCACGGTGCGGGGGGGTGCACAGATGCACCCCGAAGACACGTGGGCCCCGCAGGGCGTGGTTCCGTCTTCATTTTTCTGGCCACGTGTTCATTGTTTCAGTAGAAAGCTTTTCTCTGCAAACAGGGATTGGTAGTCAGGTAACCAGAGCGCGCTCCCTGGTTTTGCCTCCTTCCAGCAAACACTGATGTGGTTCTCTGGTTTTGGGGGAAGCGGGGAGTCCCTCCTTTCCCCAGCGGGCAGACGGAGTCCCAGCTCAGTCCCGTCTCCCCCCACCCATAACTGGTGTCCGCTCAGAACCTGGTGCCTGAGAAGGCCAGCGGTGCTGCTGTGTAGGAGACAGATGCTAAAACGGGCCCCCGCCTGAGCCCAGCGCGTCCCACCCCGAGTGAGAACAGGCCTGGTCTCTTACCCCAGGCGGGCCCCTGCATCGGGGACTGGGGAAACCCGCCCTGGACCCCAAGTGTCTTGTGTGGCTCCGGGGCTCGAGGCAGCTCGGTCACTGATGACCCCCTCTGCCCGCCCCCCACCCCCATCTTCTCTCCCCTTAGGTCCTGGCCTGGCCTTCATCGCCTACCCGAAAGCCGTGACGATGATGCCACTGCCCACGTTTTGGTCCATCCTTTTTTTCATTATGCTTCTCTTGCTTGGACTGGATAGCCAGGTACGTGCAGAGTGAGGGGATGGCCCCCAGGTGGGTCTGCCCCTGCGGGGGGGAATGGCCCCCCCTGGAAACCTGGTTCTGGCAGAGCCTCCCTCTGCAATGTGATGAGATGGTTGCAACCCCCAACACACACACACAGCCTCATGTCACGCCTGCAGCAGCTGCAGCCAGCAAGGGTTCCTGGACCCTGGGGGAGGGAACGGTCCAGGGCGGCAGCAGGATGTCATCTGCGCCAAAGCTCAAGCCTTTGACCTCAGCGAGAGAGAGACAGCCTCGGGTTGTGGGCCCAGGGGTACAAGGAGAAGGGTGAGACCACAGTGGTGGCACACGCCGCGGAGCACAGAGCCCCCGGGCAGGCCCCGGCGGGATCCGGCGCACAGGCTGTTCGGGCAGGCGGCCAACACAGCTGTCCGGGGCGCGAGTGGCCACTGACAGTCCTGAGCGCGGCCACGGAAGCTGAAACCAGGCTGTGCTTGCCACCTCCTAGGGCACGTGGGTCTGTGAGTTTGGCCCCCGCAGGGAAACCGAGCCCCCAGAGCCTCGCTCAACGTCCCCCTGCCCTCCCCACACAGACAGGAACCCCGCTACCCTATTATTGTCTTTCCCTGCACCTCTCAACCCCCATGTCCCAGCTCTCCAGGGCTTAGGCCTCCCCCCTCCCCGGGGTGTGTCCACGTGCGTCAGCCGGGCCTGCGTCTGCCTTTGGAGACTCAGTTCCCAGTCCCACTCACCCCCACAGTGTTGCTTTGTTGAACACGTTTCCTCCACCCCAGCCTGTTTCCTCATCCGGTAAATGGGTATGATTATATCTTCATTGCCTTTGGTGAAACGCCGGGTGCGCTTCCCTACGGGGAGCAGTCAGTGGTACCCGGAGGACGTTAGAGCGAGCCCCTGGGACTCCTTTCCCTGGAAATAGGCATGTTTTCACTGAGGCCTTCTCGAGAGCACAAGTGTGACTCCAGGAGGGGGCAGTTAGGGTGGGCAGGGCGGGCTAGTCCTATGCCCAGGGCCAGCCAGGGGCCTCCATCCGAGGCCAGTCTGACAGGCAGCCTCGTGTGCCAGCCGGGGGTCTGGATGCCTCCCAGAAGTCTGGGCAGCTAGGACCCTGAGAGAGGCGGGGGCTGCACCCCTTCAGGAGGGAACCTTGCCCACCGTCCCCCAGGCAGCGGCCTGGAGGCCAGTGACCAGATGGGCCCCCGGGGACTCAAGACCTGGGAGATGGGAAGTCTCAGAAGGTCAGGCAGGAGAGAGAGGGCGGTCCGCTAACAAGATCCAGAGCAGAGCAGAGGGTTTGGCAGAAAGACCAGGATTAGCAGAGAAGACCGAAGGAAAACATTTGGGAGAGGGGAAACAAAAATAACGAGAGGTTGTTGATGAACTTGAGCTGTGTAAACAGCAAGATGGCTCCATCCATCACCCCTGGTTAATGAGCTTGGCCTTAGGAGGCCCCCAGCAGCCAGCTTTTATAACCTCTTCCAGAGCTCTCAGCAAAACCCAAAAAAGAAAACAGAAAGAGATTAATAAAGGACAAAGCAGGCCATCTCCAGACTGGCCTCTTGGGCTGCGGAAGGGGCATAGGTGGCTATTCATTAGATTGCCCCTGGGAGGCAGGTGGGGCCTGGTGGAGGCTCTGCGCGTCACCCCCCACGGCCCTTCACCTCCGGCAGTTTGAAGCTCTCCAGGGCAGCCTCACCCAGAGCACGAGCTCTTCTGGTTCAGAGCGTGGAGCTCGCGGCACCGAACGGCCCGCCTGATCGACGCCCCAGGAAGGGGCATGGTGGGCTTTGAGCTCTGGGATCCGTGGGGGAAGGTTTATAGATAGATCAGCACCAGCCATGATAAGGGCCCTATCCTGTGAGCTGTCCACTCGGACCAGGCTTCACATGTCACGTGTGGAAAAATACACAGAACATGAAATTGACCCTCTTAGCCATCTTTAGGGCTTCCCCGGCGGCTCCGGGGTAGAGGACCCACCTGCAAAGGAGGAGACGCTGGTTTGATCCCTGCGTCGGGAAGATTGTCTGAAGAAGGGAATGGCAAACCCCTCCAGCATTTTTGCCTGGAAAGATCCCACTGGACAGAGGAGGCTGGCAGGCCACAGTCCATAGGGTCGCAGAGCGGGACATGGCTGAAGCCACCGAGCGCCCGTTTGTGAGTGCTCGATCCGTGCCTTTAGTACACTCATGTCGTCGTAGCCATCACCACCATCTCCAGAACTTTCTCATCTTTCCAAACGTGAAGTCTGTCCCCACTAAAACCCCCTTTTCCTCCCGCCGCCTCCTGGCTTTTAAGCATCAGCTCCTTAATACGCAGTGTCCCGTATTTACGCACAACTGTCCCCCGGAGCCAAGGAAGCCGAGCTCGGAAACAACCGGGACTCAGCCGCACCCAGCGGGTTAGGGACTGAAGCCATGCCTGACGGCTCCCAGAGCTGCCAGTTCATCCCTGCGAGCTGGCCTTCCCTTTTTTTAAAGATAATTACTTGCTTATTTTTGACTGTGTCGGGTCCCGGTGGTGGCGCGCGGGCTTAGTTGCCCGGCAGCACGTGGGGTCTTCATTCCCAGCTAGGGATGGAACCGGTGTCCCCTGCGCGGGAAGGTGGACTCTTAACCACTGGACCACTGGGGACGGGCCAGCCTTTCCGCCTGAGTTTCACGCCCGCCCCCCCCGGCATATAGCTCCCTCCTGTGGACGTGCAGAGATGCACAGCCAATCTCAGGGAGCGCGCGCCCCACTCAGCGGAGAAGAGGGTCCCTAGGTTCGGGAGCGTTCTCTTTGGCTGAGGGTGTTTCTGGAGAGAGGGAGTGGGACGGTCACCACCTGGAGACAGATGCCTGTCGCTCTCGCTGGCCTCCCTGAGGGGAGCGCGGTGTGCGCAGCCCGAGCTGGGACACTGTGTGTGCGCAGCCCTAGCGGGGACGCGGTGTGCGCGCGCAGGCGGCACAGGAAAGGAGAGCTGGATCCCCCTTCCCCCAGGAGCACACCCCCCAGGCCCCCGCCGTGTATTAACAGGAATCAGCCCATCACCCATTTACTCTAACCCTTTCCCATCCTCCTCACCCCTGTGGAGCAGACAGGATGCTCTCACTTCATAGGGAAGGAAGCAGAGGCTCTGAGAAGGCGGGGCTGTGTCACTATTCAGCGAGTCAGGTCTGGAAAGGCTGGTGGTGGAGCTGGCGTGGTGCCCCCCAGGGCCGCAGCGAACTCAGAAATGAGGGGCTTGTGCCAGTATTGGCCCTGACTCTCGGTGACCCTGCATCTGCCTGTCTTTGATTTTCAAATCTCAAAACGGGGAAGAACCTTTGTTTCTAACTCCTTTACAAGGTTAATGTCAGATCTGCCGGTCTGCTCTGGTTTACTGGCCTTTTAGACTCACCACCCTTTGGCTGAGACCTCAATCAGAGGTCTAAGCACCTGCCCCCTGCTCTCTTGGAACCGCTTCCAAGAGCTTCTTGGTCATCGTTTCTCTGAATTCCCAGCCCCTCTGAACGCACGGGAAGGACTTGCTCTGGTGCATGTGTGTTCCCTGATTCTCCCGTGATGCTTCCCAGAGGAGCCAGCCGTTGGCCGTGTTTTGCAGGAAGGCTGTGGAAGCAAACCTCCCATGTCTGTCCCAGAAGAAAGAGCCGACGGGTTGAGGTTTTAGCTTTTGGACGTTGAGTGGACTCCGACAGCCTCAGGGCATGTTGGCTAGCCGAGCCGTTTGGCTGTGGTCACTCCAATGAAAATGCGTCAGCATGCCCTTTCACCCCAAACCGCACCTCTAGACTGTGCTGCGGATAGGTGCCTAGAGACAGACGTGGTCCGGCCCAGGTCGGCCGTCACGGAAGCTAGAGACTGTCTACGGGGCACCTTCCCTTGAGGTCGTGAAGCCACTAAGATCCTTGCAATACGCATCCACAGGATGGGGTTAACGCCCCCGTCTGAGAACCGAGGCAGCTCCGTGGACTGATGTGAAATGTCCCCCCAGGGATAAATCGTTAGGTGCAACAGTGGGAAGGTTTAGAAAGACCGAGGGTCACCCTCGAAGGTTACCTATGAACTGGGCTTTCCGTCACCTTTGGGAGCCCAGGGATGAGTTCCTGGGGTCGCGGGCAGCATTTGACTCACGCACATGGGCCTGTGGGCATGCACGCAATGTGTGTGGAATCCTCCCGTGGAGCCCACGGTCCCTGCAGGGTTGAAAACCACCGTGTGAGTCTTCAGTCTGGAAACTGAAGCCCAGACTTGCCTGGGTCACCACCCATAGGTCACGTGCTGCTATGTACCTGGCCCAACTGGGTGCCCAAGGCCCGGAAATAAGGGGGCACCGCCCTCAGCTTCCAGGAAAACCCAGACCCAAGCGGGAGGTTGCCCGCGTTGACATACCAGCCAGCAAGTGTGCCGGGCAGAGGGGCCTTGGGCACGGACTACCTGGAGAGCCGCGCGGGACCCACCAGGCCTGGCCCGATGGGTGGGACTCAGCATGCGGAGCCCCTCCACGGCATGGACGTGACCCCCCACAACCCGAGCCGAGGGGGTGCTGGCCTGCTGCTCATGGCTCTCCTTCCCTCCCCAGTTCGTGGAAGTGGAAGGACAGATCACGTCCTTGGTTGATCTGCACCCATCCTTGCTAAGGAAGGGTTTTCATCGGGAGATCTTCATCGCCTCCATATGCTGTGTCAGCTACCTGCTGGGGCTGACCATGGTGACGGAGGTAGGTGGCTCCCGCCTGGCACGAGGGGACCCCCCCACACACACAGGGCCCCGGGTGCTTTCACTGTGTCTCCCAGGTTAGTTCAAGGCCACACCCCTTCCCTGCCGACCCCCCACCCAGCGGCTGGGTGAGAGGGCCCGGCAACTGAGGTCGTCCCTCCTTTGGGGGTCCCACCCCACCCAGGGGCAGCAGGGGGTGACTGAGAACCCCGCCCTCCAGCCAGACGCCCTCCCCCACTTCCCTGTTACCCTGGCAACACCATGCCCACCTGCTGCCCTCCATCTCTCCTCATCCCGAGGCCCGGGGAAGGGGCGCTTCGGCCCAAATCCCCTTTGACGGCAGCTCCGTCCCCACTGCTGTGGGCAGTGGTCCTTCTCCGGCCGGCCTGCAGGGGAGCTGAGTGTGTGAGCCTAGCCCGGGCCGTGGCCTCATCTCAGCACCCACCACCCGTCTCTCCTTACTCTCCGGCCCAGGGTTGCATTCGACCCCTAGATCAGGATTTCACATCCCCAGTCTTCCTTCCCGGCACTCAAAATAAATGCGTTTCCCAAAGTGTCTGTAAGAAACACCCCTGGAAAGGCAGATCACAGGTTCACATGCCGAGCAGCTCGGTCTCACTGAAGTCTTCTCTGTGGGCCACCGGGGGTTTTAAGCTCCTCCGTTGGAAACAGGCTTCAGCGAATCCGTTCTTTTTTGTGCAAAGAAAGACATGTTTTGCTTTCATTTCTTTCTGTGTGTGTCTTTTTTAATTAAGTTTTTACTTTTTGACTTAAATTTGTCATGAAGCTAAGTATCTTTTAACACAGCTATCTGGTCCTCAGGCCTCTGCCCAATCCCCCCTGCCCCCCGCCCCGGCCTGGGCTTTCTGTTTTCTTCTTGACAGGCCAGAAGTCTTTACATGTGGAGGGACTTAGAGGCCAAATAGCAAGTTCACCTCCCCTAGCTTTCTCTTCGCAGGGCGGCATGTACGTCTTTCAGCTCTTTGACTACTATGCAGCGAGCGGTGTATGCCTCTTGTGGGTGGCGTTCTTTGAATGTTTTGCTATTGCCTGGATATATGGTGAGTAGAGACGTTTGCCTGCTTTTCTCAGGTCTCCTCTTTGGGCTTCTCTCTTTAGAAGCTTCAGAAACAGAATTCTCGTGGGAATTTCATTTTGCATCAAACACAAAGGCTGTTCCCTGCCTGGACCCTTCCCCTTTCACCACAAATACAACCGTAGCCACGTGGAAGCTTCTCTCCAGGCTGAAGGTTCAAGTTGTGATCCGATGCCTTGACAAACACAGAGTTTGGCCTTGCAGGGGTCTGTCTTTGGTGAACCACCCCTGGAGTCCAGGAATGGTCCATTCTGACCTCCTCAAGTCCTTGGGATGGCCACACCAGGATTTGGGACTCTGCCTGAGGTTGCCAAAAAAATACCGGCTACCCAGTGACCCGTGAATTTCAGATCCTTTCAGATAAACGTGTGCCGGGTCTGTGTGGTGTGGACAGGTGCACAGACCTGGGTGAGGCCCTGGAGACACCCCCTCCTCCTCGCCCCGCCCCGACCCCATGGCCCTTGAGCCCCTGCCGTAAAGTTCCTGGGGCGGATGCCGCATCTGGGACGCCAGATCACTGTCCATCTGCCTCTGACTCTTGCAGGCAGCGATAACTTCTACGATGGTATTGAGGACATGATCGGCTACCGGCCGGGGCCCTGGATGAAGTACTGCTGGGCCGTGGTCACCCCGCTTCTCTGTATCGTGAGTGTCCTCCTGCGCGGCCGTGGGCCATCGTCCCTACCCCAGGGCTTGACGGTTTCACCCGCCCGCCCGCCCATCGTGAGCTCAGCATCGGCTCAGTGCTGGCCTCCGACAAACCCGTGTCAGCTGGGCCTCGGGGCAGGGGCCGGGCTGCCGCTGTCCGCTCAGACCATGGCGAGCTCAGGGTAGACTGCCCCCGTGTTTAGGAACCGGGTGCCGGGGGATGCCCCCAGGGACCTCGGTCTCCAGGCCACTGTGTCCCTCCCCGCTGAGGCCCCCGCATCCCCATTTGTTAAACAAGGAGGCCGACCGATGTGGGGCTGAGTAACAGTGACCGTGTAGGCTGTCTCTTTACCCCCAAGTGTGCCCTTTTATCACCTGAGCTGCAGACTGCCCCCCACAAAATGCCGTCCTCTGTAGCAGCCAGCGGGCTTTCCCGGTGGCGCCAGTGGTAAACAGCCCGCCTGCCGACGCAGGAGACGTAAGAGACGTGGGTTCGATCTTTCCTGGGTCGGGAAGATCCCCTGGAGGAGGGCACGGCCACCCACTCCAGCATTCTTGCCTGGAGACACCCCGTGGACAGAGGAGCCTGGCGGGCCGCAGCCCGTGGGGTCGCACAGAGTCAGGCGTGACTGAAGCGACTTGGCCCCTGGGCTCATGCGCACGCGTGCGTGTTTGCACTGCGTTCTAAGGGCGCCCCGAGGGTCCTGCCCAGCTCCGCCCGGGCGGTCAGGGGCCTGACAGGTGGTCTCTCTACCACTGGAGCCACATGGGCAGCTGGGATGCAGAGAAGATGCAGGAGGGCGGTCCCATGGGTGGAAGCAGCCTGCCCAGAGGTCCCCAGGGGCCCCGGCGGGGCTGAGACACTGGGATCCATAGCATAGCCATGCAGGAGGAGGCGGTGGGCAGGTGGCCGGGCATTGCTGGCCAGAGGAGGACCGTGCGTCCTGAAGGCCCTGCGGAGCAGCAGGGGGTTCTGAGCAGGGCAACCGCTCCGTCAGCAGAGGGGGAGGAGGCTGGGGCCCTCGGGTGGGCCCCGCCTGGCCCCAGAAGCCCCTGACCGCCCCCTTGTCTCCCCACAGGGATGTTTTGTCTTCTCTCTCGTCAAGTATGTACCCCTAACCTACAACAAAGTCTACACGTACCCCACCTGGGCCATCGGGCTGGGCTGGTGCCTGGCCCTGTCCTCCATGGTGTGTGTCCCCCTGGTCATGGTGATCCGCCTCGGCCAGACCGAAGGGCCCTTCCTCGTGGTAAGCACCCGGGGCCCCCCGCCGGGGGCAGGATGCTGAAGGCCAGCCAGCTGGCAGTTGGCTGTGTGACCTGGGGCCCCGCGCTGGCCCCCTCTGAGCCCCAGGCCCCTCCCTCCCCCTGCGGCGCGGCTGAAGCTGTGGGCAGGAGATTGCGCGGCGGGAAGACGGGGCAGTGGCAGCACCTTTGGGGGCCAGGCAGCGGGCCAGGGGGCAGCGGCTTCAGATGCCAAGATGAGAGCCAGGGCTTCGCCCCCAAGCAGAGGGGGCCAGGTTGTTGCTGAGACAGGAGCTGGGGGGGGAGGGCTGAGCCTAGCCCACGCTGGTGTCCCCCTTCCCAGACCGGTGGCCCCGATTGCCGCTGGACCCTCGGAAAGAGGCCACCTCCTCACCGAGCAGAAGCTCTGGCTCCAGGGTCTCTGCCCCCGTGGGTCTCCTCCCCACCTCCCCCGCCCACCCCCCGAATCCTGCCGCCATCCTCTCCGAAATTCCTCCAACAGTCCTGGAGGTTACAGGCCCTGGCTCTTTCCAAGAAATCCTTTTCTTAGACTCTCCCTTAACCTTTGGGCTTGGGCTGGCTCCAGGACGGCACTGTTTTGTTCTGGGCTGTTTTTATTGTTATTCTCTTAAAAATCTGGAGCCAGGATGTCCGGGGGCCCTGCCTGCCTCCTGGGCTGGGCAGTTTCCTTGTGGGCAGGGGCCTGGTTGGGGGGGGGGGGATGTCTTTGGTCGGGGGCTGGGCGGGGAGGAGGGGACAGGCCTTCCCGAGACGGAGGAAGTAGGCAGGGGTGTGCCTGGGAGGAAACCGTGAGGCTGGGGTCTGTCTGGGCCAGGAAAGCCTCTGGGGTGTCCCTGCGGCCCTGGGTCCATTGTGTTTTCTCAGAGGCCGCAAGGAAGGACCCCAGGATTCAGCCAGAATGCTGAATAGCCCTCTCATTTATCAAAGCACGGACATAGTGTGCCTGGGACAGACCCAGCCCTGCCCCCCCGGAATTCCCAGGAATCTCTCTTGCCACCCGGAGACTGCAGGGTTAATGGCAGCGTCGGAAGGCAGTGCTGAATGCTCACAGCCAACCCGAGAGGCCACTGCCTTCTGTCCCTTGGAATCCTGATTTTAGAATCCTGCTCCATCTCACGTTTAGAGGTTCAGGCAGAGCAGGGTTGGTGTCGGGGAGGAATTCGAGTCCACCCCCGGGTCACGTCCGATCCTCACGCCCCCAGACCTGACCTGACAGTTCCCGGAAGCCCCCTCCTCTGAAGGCAGCTGGCCGCCACCCACCTGTGTTGGCCTCCAGTCTGGTTCCTCCCAGGCCCAGACCGCGGCCCCAGCTGGGGTGTGGGGTCACCGGGGCGCGGGGGCTCAGGCACTCTCGCAGGAGGTGGTCAGGCTCCCGGTTCGGGAGCCCCCCATCCCGGATTATCAAGGAGATGTGGGCCTCTGCTTGCCAGAGCTTGTGGTTTTTAAAGAGCAGGTGGAAATCTGGATTTTCAGATGAAATATTGTAGCTTTTACCAAGCAGCTTTTGAGCATTGTTGTAAACCTGCAATGAACGTGGATGCCGAGACAGAGGGTTTCCTGCTTCCTCTTGAAGCCTCTGAGTGGCCACCTGGCAGGCGGTGGGCTGGGCGGCGGGAGCCCTGGGTCAAGTCTCAGCTCTGCTTTGGTTTCTTGGGTGTCCTGAGAGGGGCTTTTTTCCCCCTCACCCGTGATCAGGCAACCTGGGGAAGAACCAGCTGCCCCACGCAGCCTCTGGCCTCTCTGATGGGCGGGGCAGCGCAGACAGGCAGCGTGGTCTCCAGGCCCCCAGCGGGGATGTGGAGAGGGCAGGACCTGTAGCTTGTGGAGATGGGAGAGTTTGGGAAGGTTGGGAGCCATGGGAGGCTCAAGACAGTCATCCAGCCTCGGGCATACGAACTGTAGAAACTCAGCTGCTTTGCAAGTCAGGGAGATAGTGGGGACAAGAATCCCGAGGCGGCGTATTTCAGCTCTATGGGGGAAAGAGTGTGGAGGCATGAGTCCCCTTGGCCAAGGAATCTACCTGCTGGGAGCTCTGCTCTCGTTGAGGGCCTGGGGCACCTTGGTTCAAGGCCTTTGTTTGCCAGGAGATGAGAAATGGGAGGTCCAGAGAGGGCAGGGGTTTGGCGAAGGTCACACGGCACCCCGGCAGGACGCGAGGTGAAGAGGGAACCCACAGGGCCTGACCTGTCTCCCCGCACCTGTCCCCTTCCTTCTCCAGAGACTCAAGTACCTGCTGACCCCGAGGGAACCCAACCGCTGGGCCGTGGAGCATGAGGGGGCCATGCCCTACAGCTCACGCATGGCCCTCAACAACACGCTCAGGAAGCCCACCCACATCATCGTGGAGACCATGATGTGAGCGCTCTCCGGCGGACGGGCTGTTCTCCCGCTGTTTACTAACATTAGATTCTCGTAGGGCCAGGTTTACAGAGCTTTACATTTGCACTAGGGTTTTTGTTTATTTTTTCAATTGTCACAGAAAATGTTACTCTGTGTGTTTGTGTGTGTGTGAGCGTGTGCACGTGTGTGTGTGCGCGTGCGGTGCTGTGTGTATGTGTATTTCCTTTCGATTTGGGGAGGTTTTGTACAAAAAAGCAAACCCACGGGCAGCTGTCCGGGGCAAGGCACAACTTTCATACAGAATCAGATGTATTTTATGGGGACTTGGTAAAATTTTCTTTGTATTTTTTTTACATGTAACTATGTATACACGTAGAGATTGTCAAAGACTTACCACTTGAATTGATCTCGCCAGCGATAGATCTCGTTTTTAAAAGCAATTCTTCGGTGCTTATGCAGCTGGCAGAAAGTTCTGCCCCCCCCCGACCAGAACCCTGGGTGGAATTTTAAAGGTGGCGTACCTGCAGACCTGGTTCAACTGAAGCAAACAGCTATCTGGCCAGACCCCAAGGGGCTGGAGAGAGGAAGGTGCCTTGTGATGCTTATCTTAGCCAACAAGAGAGATGCCCAAACCGTAAACCAACCCTCAAGAAAAGGGACTCAAGTCCACAGTGGAGGCCCAACGGCGAAAGTCGGATGCTAAGCACGCCAGGGACCCCTGCATCGGGAGGGTCCCTTTTATTTCAGGATTGAGGGTGGATAGTCAGAAGGACAAGAGGGAGAGGCATCCTTCCCCAGGGTATCCCCTGGAGCAAGTGGAGGCTGGCCCCGCAGGAACTGGGGGTCTCCAGGCTCCAGACCTCACATGGATGGGTCTGTTGCCTTAGAAGGGGGCTCCTATCAGCTTCCGGCCGACCTCCCCAGCTGGCATCTCTCAAAGCTGCCTGTTGGAGAAGCGTGATGTATTTGGTGAGGGGCGAGGGGTAAGCCAGCGGACCAAAGGATGTGCGCCCAAGTGCCCCGGAGGGGGTGGGGGGCCTGGTGTCGGGCGAGGGGCTGCTCCTTCCCTCTTCACGCCACCCGCAGCTCTGGCCTCGTCTCCCAGAGGCTCTTGTTGAAGACCCCGGCCCAGGGTCACCCTGGCGCCCAGCAGGGGGCTCAGGAGCGAGCTGTCACTGGGGCGAGGTGCTCCCCTAACTCTCCTGCGAGTTCAGGCACAGGTGCAACCCACGCGGGTCACCTGGGAGCTAAGGTATCGCTTTCTCCCCCTCCCCTACAAAAGCCGGGGTCAGGCGTGCAGTAGGTGGGGACTGCAGGCAGAAGCTGAGTCAGGGCAGGCACCCTGGAAACGGGCGTCCCTCTCTGAACCAGGACGGAAGGCACCCCACCTTTAGAACCCCGCCCAGCCCGCATCTGGACCTCAACTGTGCCATTTAAACAGACACTTCCAAGCCCAGAGTCTAAAGTAAACCGAACCATCGTCCCTCATGAAGAGCAGTGATCGCCTCGTGGGCTGTGGAGTGCGGTCCCGCTCCGCGTTCAGAGCAGGGGTTCTATGAACCCTGGGACCCCCCCTCCCCAAACCCGGGCAGGGGTGGGGCCTCAGGTGTCGCCCTCCCAGGGGGCAGAGGTGACTCTGAACCTCCCATCTTTGGCGTGTGGTCACAGTCCCCCGTCTCCATGGCGATACTCTGCCAAACAACACCCCACCCTATTCCAAACCGTCAGCAAGTCTAGTTCCCATCTCACTGTGTATTTATGGTTGCCACCGTGTCTGATTCGCTGGTGTTGTTTTTGTTTTTTCCCAGTTTTATTGAGTAGCAATGTGACCTCTTCTTTGTCTTATGGAGCTTTAGTAACTAACCACTGTCAGTGACTGGGGACAGGTCACGTGCAGGGGCTCGGCGGGGGGCCTCGGACCCCGGCGAAAGGCCACAGCGTTTCAGGATGGTTGGCAAATCACAACATTCTGGAAATGGCCCGGAAACGGCCCCTTCTTCTACGATTCCCAGACCAAATTCTAGACCAAAGACACACGCAGACCAAGCCCCCAGGCCCCGCCTGGAAGGAAGGTCAGCCACTCTCCCAAACCGGGTCCTCGCCCGTCTCCGGGCACCTGTCCCCAGTCACAAACCCCCGCCTGACCCCCAGCTCCTGTGTATCCATAGAACTCAGCTCTGTGAGTACCTTATGTAATGACGCGTGCCTCTGATGTCTCAGCATAAAGGAAACTTGTCATTGGAGCTCACGACTCTGGTTCGCCTGTCTCTGGGCAGGCCCCCTGCCCGCGCTCTACCTGGGACGGAATTCTGATGTTTGCAGCCAGATTTGAAAGGGAGGCAAGAGGGAGGCTTAAAGGAGGTTTCTAGGGTGCAGAAATGGGGCAGGGCCCCAGGACGGTCTCTCCCAGGGAGATGCTTCATGGAGCTGGGCCTGGGCCCTGTTCGCCCCTGCGGTCCCCAGTGATGGAGAGGCTTCCTGGGTCTCCCAGTCAGTGCCCTCATTGGCAAACGGGCATGTTCGCCGTGAAGACCAAAGACCAGCCTTATGGCAAAGGGCCTGCTCCGTCCCCAGAGTCCAGGGACCCTGTGAGCATCCTCAGGGGCTGGCTGGACCCCAAGTTGTAGCTCAGTGGGACAGGCAGCCCCGGCCCCCCGGCCCCCCACCCAGCAGGCCTCTGGGAGCCAGGTGTTGAGAGCAGGGATGCAGGAGATGGCGGGATCTAGCCTGAGGCCACGTGGGACATCCGCAGCCATCACAGAGCGGCCTCAGGTGGTTTCTGGGCCTTGGGAAGCTCCCTCTGCAAAGCCTCTGGTCCCACATTCTCTCCCCAGGTCCCCAAGACGGTGAGGGGGACAGTGTAAGGGGAGGGGGCATCCTACTCAGCCTGGCCCAGAGTGTCCCATGTCCCCAGGTACCACACAGCCGTCAGGGGCCCAGCCAGCCTCTCCCAGCCATACCCGCCACCATCCCTCCCCACCCCCAGGCCTCAGAGACTGGCCAGGAAAGAACCCAAGAAAGGAACCCCCCTCGAGGCAGCCAGAGGCCCCATCCAGCCCTCAGACTCAAAGTTCGGGGAGCGTCCGGGTGGACGCCGTGAATATCACTGTGCAAAAATCCCAACAAGCACAAAACAATGAACAAAGCTCAGGCATCGAACTCGGAGAGGGGTGTGGATGCCCGGGAGCCAGGGGGCAGCCTTTGTCCCCGGGTCGGCCTCTCCACGGGTGTGACTGCAGACACGTTCTTCCCTGGGGTGGGGGGCTGAAGCATCTTATTATATATTTGACTTCAAACTGAGATGTCGGCTTCATTTTTTTTTTTTTTTACCCAATTAATTTTCAAATCCCTAGCAACTGTGACTGTATTTAGCACGAGAGAAAGCTGAGAACGTGGGTCTTTGCCTCCTTCCAGAAATGTCTGGTTCATCAGGACATTTTTTGAAACTTCAAACTATTTTTTAAGATATTTTAAACTTTTGTAAAAGAAAAAAAATATATCAAGCAACAAGAGACTCTTCTGAGGAGCATTTGTATTTGAATAAGATCCTTGGTGTGTAATTCAGTCTCGCTGTATACAAGCTTTTGTGTATAAATGTTTTCTGATACGAATCCCTGTATTTTGCAGGGTGTTTCTTTTCCTCTTTGGCTTTTTAGATAAATATGTATATCAATATTTTAAATTCATCTTTGCTTTTTTTTTTTTTAGAGGAGTTTGTAATCACCTTATAACATGAAAATAAAATTTCCTTTTAAAATCGGAAACGTGTGGGTTCCATTCTGACGCAGCCATTCCTCTTTATGTTTAGCAAGCTGTTTACCTTTTACAGAGGGCTTTCAGCCCAGCCCCGGGGACATTCCTCAGACAGGGGTGTTATTCTCTCAGGTTGGAGACACTGAGGTGAATGTCGCGGAGTCCCAGCTCTGGTTGGAAAAGAATTTCCAGACGCGGAGTGGTTCAGAAAGGAGTGGGTTTATTAAGAACAGAAAGCAGAGATAATGAGGGTGCTGCAAGCACCCACAGAGGGCCGACCCCCCAACAGACCAGGGGGAGCCCGTGCAGTTTAACAGCCAATTCTTACAGTCTCAAGGCAGAAAATTCCTGCCAGAAGGCTGGCGTTAGGTGATTAGTTGGGGCTTCCCTAGTAGCTCAGATGGTACAGACTGCCCGCGATGCAGAAGACGTGGGTCTGATGCCTGGGGCGGGAAGATCCTGTGGAGGAGGGCATGGCTACCCACCCCAGTGTTCTTGCCTGGAGAATCCCGTGGATGGAGGAGCCCGGAGGGCTGCAGTCCACGGGGTCACAGAAGAGTCAGACATGACTGAGCGACAAACACTTCAGAGCGACATAGGCTGAGCACCAGGGTGAGCATTTCTGTCTCATTTGTGGTCAGGAGGCCAGCTGGTGACACCCAGGGGGGACTTTTGGCAATTGCGACAAAGGCGCTCAGCCCGCTTCGGAGGTGGCCTCGGTTCTGGGCTCTGCTTCTGTGGCCTTGGGGCAAGACTCCGCAGTAAAGAGTCAAGAGGGGACAGTTGACCTCAGGACACAGGAGTCCCTGCAAGTGTGAGCAGTGGGACTCAAGTCCCCGAATCCCTGGTCGGCTTCAGCGGCTTCTAATAATAGGACTCGACCAATCACCTGGGCCCGGGTGGTCACCTGATCTAAAGCGCCACGTGCCCATCGGACGTGCTGCTCACCACGCGCCCGCAACAGGCACCATCCCGTACTAACACCCGGGCTCTGATCGCCATGGCCCGGGGGCGCTGAATTGGGACAGACCAGTGATTTTAGAGCCCAAGAAAGTAGTCTGTCACTGTTCCCATTGTGTCCCCATCTATTTGCCATGAAGTGATGGGACCGGATGACATCATCTTAGTTTTTTGACTAATGAGTTTTAAGCCAGCTTTTTCACTCTCCTTTTTCATCAAGAGACTCCTTAGTTCTTCTTCACTTTCTGCCGTTAGGATGATATCATCTGTGTATCTGCGGTTATTGCTATTTCTCCCAACAATCTT